TTTATAAAAGATATTTTACTGTTACTTGTTTGCAAAGAACAAATGAATTTGTCATTTGTATTTAATGTTAAGTAATCAGAGGAATATAGATCAATGTTGCTACATAAAACCCTGTAATAGATATTTGTACAAGCAATGGTTGCTATTGTTACCATGTATTATAAAAAAAAGATTGCTTTTGCAAAATGAGAGATGTTAATATCTTGACTGGTAGTGTATTTTTATTTTGGAAAAATGTTTATATATTCCCTGTAATATTTTTTGATTGAGAATTCATTTATAATGAAATTCAAATTGTATAAGCAGTGTTAACATTTCTGTTTATATCTTAGGTATTTATTTTCAACAACATAGAAATTGTCTTGGGGATCTTGAGCTGGAGAGTGCAAGATTTTGTATGTGTTGGGGTACGTAACAATTCAGAGTGATTTCTTAGTGATTCAGACCCTTTCTGTCAACAGATTTGGATGAAACACTTTTGTCCTCAACTGTAAGGCAGTGATGGAAGGTGGTACTTTAACCCCATCTACAAACCGACCACAGAGGAAGAACTATCATGGCTACCAACCCCAGGGACAGCACTGGATGACTCCAGAGATATCTGCTCAATTGCAGGTTTGTAACCAGCTACGCAAAGCATCAGAAGCAACTAATAGACCCGAAGATCATGAGGCATATCAAGCACAATGCAGAAGAGTGCACAGTATGATGGAGGAAAGCAAGGCCAGTCTTGGTTTAGGCCACCTACCTGCACTTCCTTCTCAGTATGGTTATGGATGGCAGAATGAACATGGGTACAATGGCTATCAGCCCGCAGGCCCAATGGGAAATTCTAACTTCCAGCAAGGTTCTGGGAAATATTTTCAGGGAAATAACAGGAAACCCATCACTTGTGGACCTTGCAATCGAACATTTTTCAATAAGCAGAAACTTGAAGAACACCTTAAAGAGCATGTTGAATGCCCATTTCCTGAGTGCAAATTAAGTGCACATATCAAGGTCATTGACCAACACATAAATAACCAACATATGCTTGTTAATTTTGCTTCCTTACAAATTGATGATGAAACATGGATTGCAGAGAGAAAGAAACGTTTTCCAAGTATTCAGAGAGCAGAATTACGAAGAGCAGAACAAATAGAAAAGCTGAAGAGGGGAGAGAAGTTGGGTGTAAGTAAAAAACCTTTTAAAAGTAAAATCAAAAGTATTACCAGCAAGAAGGAAAATGATGCAGCAGGTGCCGGCAATGCAACTACAGGTGTCAAACGAGAGCAGCCGCAGAATGAGAGTGGCAAAGATGAAGGCAAACGCAAAGGGAAATTCAGGAGGAAAAGACAAGAACAGGAAACCTTCAACAAGCCATCTCAGCCAGTCATGAAAGTAGACCTTTTAGATTCTGATGATGAAACAAGGGATGGTTTGCATGCATTTAAGGGAACCAAATGCTTTTATGAAGAATTAGGAGAAGTCAGTTACTTTGGAAACAAGAGCATAAATGTTGATAAAGAGGACACAGCAGAGCAAGAGGAGAATATTGTAATAAGTGATGATGAGGACTGGCAGGATGAAGATAATAAAGAGGCAGATAATAAAGGATCACTTGTTTTAGGAGGTGCTCTAGGATCTTTAATGGGTGCATACTCCGACTCAGAGGATGAAAGTGCTGATGAAGCAGTTTCTAGTCAAGGAAAGGATGACCCACAGTCTGTGCCAAAGAAAATTGATGAAGGTTCCTCTTCAAAGGTTAAAGCAGATGCCTCTGTTGAAGATACAAAGAGCCAAGATAAGTCTGTTGATATAGCAGGGACCCAAGATATGTTAGTTGAGGTTGCAAAACCAGATTCTTCTGCCAATGCTGAAGTGAAGCAAGATACAGAACAAAGTAAAGAATCTTCAAGCAGAACAAGAAACAGACGGACGCAACGCAAAAAAGCTTCAAAAGGACCCCCCAAAGCTCGCAAAATGCCAAGAAGACGTAAGACTCTCCTGGAGAAACTTCTGCAAGCAGATATTATACATGAGAGGAATGTAATTCTACAGTGTGTGCGATTTGTTTTGGAGAATAACTTTTTTGATGGTAAAAATAATGTTGGTGATAAGAAAATAAATGACAGTAGTAAAGCAGAAAAGGAGACTGAAGATTGCACTGTAAACAAACATAAAAAATCAGACACAGTACAGCCACCAAAAGAAGACAATAGTTCACAAATCGGTAACATATCAGCGACTACTGATAAAATCAACCAGGAAGAGAAACATGTAACGTGTAAAGACTTAGGACATCAAATAAGTAGTGAAAATAGCAAAACTGTTAAAGACACAAAGAATGAATGTGATAGTAATAAGAAAGCAGCAAGAAGGTTGAAAAAGCAACTATTAGAAGATGATGCAGCTCTTACTAACGGTGCCTCCAAAAGGAGAAAAAGTGATACTGAAGAACTTAATGAGGACACCAATGAGAAGAAAGAAAGTGCAGCCATTGAAACAAATAGTAAAAGTGATTTACAGAAGGAAGACAATCTTGAGTCAATGGCATGTGAGGAGGTACAAGAAAAGGTAACTGACAAGGAACAAGAGAGCTTAAAAGTTAAAAGAATGAAGTTTAGTGAAGAGGAAAAGTCAGTGGATGTGATTAGTAAGGATAGTATAAGTAATGGACAGAAAGATGGCAAGAAGAAAGAAAGTGCAGCCATTGAAACAAATAGTAAAAGTGATTTACAGAAGGAAGACAATCTTGAGTCAATGGCATGTGAGGAGGTACAAGAAAAGGTAACTGACAAGGAACAAGAGAGCTTAAAAGTTAAAAGAATGAAGTTTAGTGAAGAGGAAAAGTCAGTGGATGTGATTAGTAAGGATAGTATAAGTAATGGACAGAAAGATGGCAAGAAGAAAGAAAGTGCAGCCATTGAAACAAATAGTAAAAGTGATTTACAGAAGGAAGACAATCTTGAGTCAATGGCATGTGAGGAGGTACAAGAAAAGGTAACTGACAAGGAACAAGAGAGCTTAAAAGTTAAAAGAATGAAGTTTAGTGAAGAGGAAAAGTCAGTGGATGTGATTAGTAAGGATAGAGTAAGTAATGGACAGAAAGATGGCAAGAAGAAAGAAAGTGCAGCCATATTGAAACAAATAGTAAAAGTGATTTACAGAAGGAAGACAATCTTGAGTCAATGGCATGTGAGGAGGTACAAGAAAAGGTAACTGACAAGGAACAAGAGAGGCTTAAAAGTTAAAAGAATGAGTTTAGTGAAGAGGAAAAGTCAGTGGATGTGATTAGTAAGGATAGTATAAGTAATGGACAGAAAGATGGCAAGAAGAAAGAAAGTGCAGCCATTGAAACAAATAGTAAAAGTGATTTACAGAAGGAAGACAATCTTGAGTCAATGGCATGTGAGGAGGTACAAGAAAAGGTAACTGACAAGGAACAAGAGAGCTTAAAAGTTAAAAGAATGAAGTTTAGTGAAGAGGAAAAGTCAGTGGATGTGATTAGTAAGGATAGTATAAGTAATGGACAGAAAGATGGCAAGAAGAAAGAAAGTGCAGCCATTGAAACAAATAGTAAAAGTGATTTACAGAAGGAAGACAATCTTGAGTCAATGGCATGTGAGGAGGTACAAGAAAAGGTAACTGACAAGGAACAAGAGAGCTTAAAAGTTAAAAGAATGAAGTTTAGTGAAGAGGAAAAGTCAGTGGATGTGATTAGTAAGGATAGTATAAGTAATGGACAGAAAGATGGCAAGAAGAAAGAAAGTGCAGCCATTGAAACAAATAGTAAAAGTGATTTACAGAAGGAAGACAATCTTGAGTCAATGGCATGTGAGGAGGTACAAGAAAAGGTAACTGACAAGGAACAAGAGAGCTTAAAAGTTAAAAGAATGAAGTTTAGTGAAGAGGAAAAGTCAGTGGATGTGATTAGTAAGGATAGTATAAGTAATGGACAGAAAGATGGCAAGAAGAAAGAAAGTGCAGCCATTGAAACAAATAGTAAAAGTGATTTACAGAAGGAAGACAATCTTGAGTCAATGGCATGTGAGGAGGTACAAGAAAAGGTAACTGACAAGGAACAAGAGAGCTTAAAAGTTAAAAGAATGAAGTTTAGTGAAGAGGAAAAGTCAGTGGATGTGATTAGTAAGGATAGTATAAGTAATGGACAGAAAGATGGCAAGAAGAAAGAAAGTGCAGCCATTGAAACAAATAGTAAAAGTGATTTACAGAAGGAAGACAATCTTGAGTCAATGGCATGTGAGGAGGTACAATAAAAGTTATGATGTCCGTTATTAACTTATTCAAAGAAAGAAAGAAAAGAAAAAAAAAAGAGCCCTCCTTTTTCACATTTACTAATATCCATATAAACATAAAATAATCATAAGTAAATAGAATAGTACGTGGAACAAACAAATTGGAGAACAATACACTGCCAATGAGTAAGTGCAGTTCTCTTGGCAGTGACCTTTAGTGTCAAAAGGAAAGAAGCAATTATTTATTTTTGACAGATACATGAAAGAAATATAAAATAAGTAAACCACATTAAAAGACCAGGCGCCAAAGTTGCCTTTAATTGCTGTGCGAGGAAATACTGTAAACAAAAAAGTGCACAGTACAGGAAAGATAGAAGTAAGGTATAAAAAATGGAACAAAAAACAATGTGAATACTAAAAGCATAAAAGCATGACTGGTCACAGCTTTCATACATGGATCCTAACAGGAAGTTAAACTCCTGTCTAGTGGATCACTTTAGAAATAAGTAGCTACTGCAGTTCAAAGACTACAGACTTTCAGCAAAGGACAATTATGAGATAAGTATTTTTCTTCCCTTTTGCACAGATGTAGCAACTTTACCAAGAAGTGACCGAGCAGGATACAACAAACGGGAAATAATATCCGCTATTATAAGAAATGCCTGGTCAGCGGCACAGAAATGGACAATAGCAAGGAAAGCCGGAGGATTAGAACTTAAAAAAGTGGCAGATGCAGTTGTCAGTGCTCGTGGTGAGGAGGAGTTGAAACCAGAGATTCACAATGCGGCTTTACAGCTCAAGTCTTCAGTTAGCAAAATGGTAATGAGCCCTGATTAATGAAACATTGAAAAGTCTATATACTGTATATTTACAATGTCATAAAATAGTTTTTCTTGATTATATATTTTTTAAAATTGAATAGAAAGTGATTCATGTATTTATTAGTTTACTTTATTCATAAGTTACTTTTCCCCTGCTAGCAAGCATGTGTAAGGGTACTAGATGACTTACTAGAAGAGATGAAGAAGTTACAGAAGCTATACTGTAAGGATGGCGATTATCCACTTTTTTCAACTCTCACACTTGAACAGATGGGTAAGCTCTATAAAATGTACATAAACACATAAATAAACAAGTAAAATGCACACACACGCATGCACACACGTACACACATCACATTATACCTCCTAAATATAGTATCCTTGTAGCCTGCAAAATTATGATGCTAAAACCCCACACATAAATCTTGGTCATAGTTAGGTCAAATAGCACATGAAATATCACAGAAAACATTCTCCAGTATCTAGGAACACAGCAAACTCCACAAGGCAAAGATTCAATCAAGGAAGATATCAAAACACAATTTGTAATTATTAACATTATATAGTAGCAGCTGTTGTGCAGACTTAAATTATACTGCATAACTGCAATATCAAAACAAAAGAATTCACTATAGAAATATATATGCCATTTGTATGTGTGTATAAATTAAGGTGGCTGTAATATTAGATTGATATTAGCTATAATTGACTTTTCTTTTAGTTGTATGGAAGATGACTGCATGATATAGAATTGTAATAATGGCAGAAAAGTTGTGTATATTGAGGCTTTTTGTTTACTTGCAATAAAAATATGTTCTTTATGCAACATTACTTACTGTAAACATTGCATATTCATGTAATTTTACAGGTTTACATAAGCTATATTTCATATACATATGTAAGAAACCAATGACTTTTTTTTTTTTTACTTTTTTTACTTTCATTCAGAGTTCCCAGATTCATGATTATGTTTAATTTCAGTGTCTGTACTAGAAAGTGTGTGTGAAGACTACAGAAAAGAAACCGAGGTGAAGGCAGGAGTGTGTGCTCCATTACCCTTCACAAGTTCACCAGACACACTCAGCACAGTCATCACGCTTTGGTCACATCATGCTCATGTTGTTACCCATCAGTACCCCCTGAAACTTCTGCTCAGGGAGACTCAGCAGTTGTGATGCTGTGATTTGCTCAGTAGACAATTAAATCCAAGAATGAAGGATTTTTTTTAATGAAGTTTTTTTTTTTTCTGAATATGGTATTTATTTTGTGTTATTGCCAATCTCAGATATACATATTATCAGTTAATCCCAGCATAATTCAACATTATTGACTGGAAGCTTTTTTTTTTTATATATATATATATAATTTCAAACACTTCTAAGAATGAACTTTATGTAATTTGATAATGATAAATGCATACTCTGTTATTATCTACTCAAATTCAAATATTTTATAATGAAGGAAATGTTATGATGACTCCTTCTAATTAACAATAATGCCATTAGATTCTGTCACCATTGTGCAAGTAAATTTGACACATGTAAAATGTAGATTGCTTGATGCAGTGGGAAGTAAAATCATCAGAAAATAAGTCTATTAAAATACATATATTTATAAAAAAATATAACAAAACTCAATCTTATACAAAAACTATTTCAAACGTTTATACACTAGCCTGGAGTATGTAATAAAAACTTGTAAATTTAACTTGATTTTTTTTATTCCCCTCATATGATCACTATGACAATTTCAAACACTTTTCAGGTAACTCCTCATCACTATCGGATAACTCTTGAAAATCTTGAGGTATATACATCTCATGTTTAATCTTGTCGTAACTGATGGTTTCAAATCTACTTTTCACATTTGTATTTTTGATGTTAGATAGCTCTCTATCGGCATCTAGCTCCCAGGCTCTTTTGCACAAGCCTTTGCGGAACACCATGCCATGAAAGTGTGTTAGCTTTTCATATTTTACCCTAGAAAATCCAAGAAAACCTAGGGTAATTTTCCATAATTTATAGAGATGTACATTTGCATTCTGATGTTTACTGTCAGGAGTTATAATGCACAAAAGACCATTAGGCTTGAGGAGATTATATGCTTTTTCACAACAATGAAATCTTTGCTTGGGTGATGGTATATACTCGAGCAGAAGGCAAAACACCACAACATCAAAAAATCCTCTTCTTAAATATCTAATTCTGTTACTTTCATTGCTTTCACTTTTCTTGTTCATTTCTTCACACTCTTTTTCTTTCACATCACTTTCACTTTTACTATTACTTGTTACATTTTCAGAGGTTTGCAAGTCTGTGTCTATCTTCTTATCTGACTTGCTGTTTGGGGTGCTTTTCTGTTCCTTTTCTGGAGAACTTCTCGCCTTATCAACATCACTCTTAGGACTCTCTGAAGCCGTTTCTGGAGCCTCTAAGGAAGACTTTCTCTCCCCATTTTCATTGTAATTCTTTCCTTCATTTTTTAGTGGAGTTGCCTCTTCAGTTAGTTCCACACCAAGAAAATCACACTGTTTAACAGACTGAAATTCAAATAGATACAGCAGTTTAGAACATCAATTATTTTTCACCCAACTATACTGCAGTCTAATAAATAGAAAAGATTAGAACACTGATTATTTTTCACCTAACTATACTGCAATTCTAATAATTTTATATAATAAAAAAATATTAATTTTGAGGTATAGTACTTACTGGTTGGGCTGGATACAAATCAATTGCAGTAACTTCATAATGTTCATATACAGAAAAGGGGTTATAGCAGCTGCCAACATCCAACAGCTGCAATTTTCCATGCTCTCTATAAAATAAAAATATTTATTATTAATATAACCCTCATTTAGTGTAAGTTATGGAAAATAATATATGAAAAAAAAAAAAAAAAATTAAGACAGTATTTTTCAATTTCATGCAACATACAGAACGAAAGCAATATATTACTTCTGAAGACAACCATCTGAAGCATCACATTCCGTTTCTAATCCTAGGTGTGTTAATTTACGGAGTTCTTTCTGAGTCACACGCGTCATTTCTCCTTTTTGATAATACTGTATTATAGCATCGTTAACCCATGTAACCCGTGAAGTGTTGATCTGTTGAGAGAAATCACCTGGGATAATTAAGACTAGTAAATTTTTAAGGCACAAAAATACAATGAGGAATGATTTATCTTGTGCATTAAATATATCAAAGGAAGGAAGACATAAGGGATTCTAAGAAACTTGATAAACCATATAATTACTTGCTGTGTAGATTCCCAGTGGTTGGTGGCGAGACTATGCATTGCACTTGCATAAGTACGTAACACATCCTCATGCTGAATGTGATCCTTCCAAACTTCAGCTTCATCTTCACCTGGGAAAATGCAAATAACTTTAGTTTATTCATTACTGCATAAAACAATTGTACAACTGTATTATTTATATATCTAGATGTCACTCCAAAGAGTAAATCTTTTGGGCTTATATAGATGAATGTTTAAAAATTATTTCAGAGGTTTTAACGTGGAAAGGGGCTTTTGGTGTGCAAATCTGCAAAAGCAATGTGAAAACAATAATTACCAACTGAGGGGGGGGGAGAGATAGAAAAAAAAAAAGTCCTTTAATACTGTTTTTTCCTTATTTACAAAACATGCAGTAAAATGAATTTAGAAGGCATCCTTTTGCTTATTATTCATACTAGGCAAAGTTTCAGTGGAATAACAATTTGAGTGTTATTTCATGTATTACTGAATTTTCCTATCTTTCTGTGACTAAAACCATTATAGTGGTAGGTTATGCTTTACCAATATATTTTAAGATTTACATATTCTGATACTATTCTGTCCTACTGGAAGTGAGGAATTGTCCCAAATTTTACAACAATAATGGCCAACTATCAAAAAGTTGTCTTCATATTCTCACAACCTTATTTGTGTGGATGCTGTGGTTATGAACCCACCTGCTGCCTTCTACACGTTACTGGGCTTCTAGAATATGAAGTCTGGCAACACGTGAATTTTGGACAGCATTATGTTGGACTTGATATTCTTTAATTTGTTCCTGTTAATGACAATCATAAAATTCACATACGACTGCTGCAGTTGACGATCATTACATATCACATGAGACTACTGCAGTTATATGTTCTACTGTATTCTAGATTTTTTTCTGAATCATTCTAAGATAAAAACTTCCAAGATTTTTCTCCACCAATCTGGAAGACAAAAACACTAACTGCCAACTGTCGTGAAACAATTTAACAAGAAATCCAGACTAGCTTAATACGGTCCTAATTTACAGTGTCATGCTGTAATGATTTGAGGAAGAACCGATAAGCACCTCATGGTAAAAAATCACAGCAATTACTTGTTAATATCTCCTGCTCTCTCCCGCAAAGCTCAAATACCCCCGCGGTGCTCCCCTGGGAAGATATCCCTTCCTCCCACACATCACGCAGCAACTGACCTTAAAACCCCCATAACCAGCTGGATCTCCCATTCCCTCATCAAACCACGACCCCATTATCCTGCCTGCACCGCCTCCTGACCCCTCATAAAACGCCGACCCCATTACCATCACCTCATCAAACCCCGACCCCATCACCATCCCCTCATCAAACCCCGGCCCCATTACCCTGCCTGCACCGCCTCCTGCCATAACCAGCTCGACCTCCCATCCCCCCCATAAAACCCCGACCCCATTACCCTGCCTGCACCGCTTCCTGAGCCTCCTGTGCGTGCCCTTGACGACCTCGGCCAGCCTCCTCCCGTCGCCGTCCATCGCGTCTCGACGTGTTTCGGCCCCGAAGTCCCACGGCCACACTGCCCTCAGGAGTTTGGATTCCCGGCCATTCTGGGATTCTGGGTTGATTCTGCGTGCAATTCTCGGGTTTCCGGGAGTGAAGACAGGGTGTGTATATCGTCGTTGGTGTGTGGGCTCGGGAG